CCAAAGATGTCCCCACCCTGCAGCCCCACTACCTGGCACCACAAGTTCCCCTACCCCAGCATGGCCTAACCCTCTCCCCATCCCTGCATACCTGCACCCGATAAGGGACCTCATCTCCCTTCCTCTCCCCTGGTCACCCCCTCACAAGACCCAGTTCCTGTCTTGTCCTACGGCCTCTGACCCTACCCCCCTCCCCCATGTGTAGGCATATACAGCTATGGCCCTCTGGGAAGGGGGGGTAACTCCTGGCTTCTGACAGTGGGGTCAGCTGGTACCCCAAGTGGCTTTGGGGTACCGCAGGAAGGCTGGGCTCCCTTGCGGGGTCTAGAATCGCAGATCTAGTTTCCCTTCCCGAGAGGGCCTGTGCCATTTCCAAGCTAGACTGGCCCTCTCCTTATGAGGGCTTTGCTAGATTATTGCTGTCTCCAGCCCGTGCCCATGAGGAGGCAGACACAGGGTTTGAGCCCAGCAAGGACACTCAGGTTTAGTTAGTCCAATGGGCTCCCCTTGCCTTAGAATGGGAGGTGGGCTCACTCTGTGTAGGGCTAACCTGCCTGCCCCCCCCCACCTTTGGGTACCCCCCAGCGTGCTCACTCAGCTCAGCCACACCCACCTGAGGCCAGTCCCCAGAACAGCCCGATGATACCTTCAGTCACCTGAGACCCTTTCAGGGGGTCATGAGATAAAAACTTTTCATAGCAATAGCATTATTTGCCTTCATTCTCCCGAAAGAGTACGATGGAATATTCCAGATGCTACATGATGTGTGATGACATCATCCCTCTGACAGCTACTGGAATGTGTGCTTGGGTTTAAGATTTTTTCCAGTTAATTTCTAGTACAATAAACATCAGTGGATATAACCCACATTAGGCCTAAGCTCTTGGGCTACTCACTGGAAGTGAGTGAAAGTGCCCCTCCCCAGCCCTTATCGGTTTTCTTGGCTGCTCCTTGTCAGCCTCCTGGGTGCTGCTCACATGGCACCATTCAGGCCATCTAGCCAGGCCTGGTGCTGCCCCCCGCCAGCATGGATTATAACTTCCATTTGTGGACCGTTTTACTGGCCGTCTCTGCTCCTGAGCTAGGCTGATAGAGCATAGAGAATGGAGCAGGGAGGACAGTGCCTGTGTGGATCAGGGTGGGCTCCGGCTATATACTCTGTGAAAGTGGGTTGCTGCTGGTGCCCAGAGAGGCCAGGAGCTGTGTGCTGCCCAGTGGCAATTCTGGGCTTTCCTCATCGTCCTCTCCTCCAGGCTGCCTGGCACCAGTCTCCCAGCCTGCTGGGTGCTGCTACTCTCTGCAGCCCCAACATCACACAGCCCATCCGTACTTATACCCCTGCACGTGCTTCCCAAGGTTGCAAGCAGAAGGACCCTGGAAAAGGACAAAGCCTCAACAAGGGCCCAGAACAATTAAGAAGCAAGGATGAATCTGAACTTGGGTTGGTTCTCCCCAGGCCAGTTGTAATAGCTAACGTTTCAGGAGTGAACATTTGGAACATGCCAGGCACAGAGCCAAGGCTGGGTGTGTGGAATCGCCATGTGGACCCCACTGTGAGGATGGGCAGTGTACTCATTTCCTGTGGCCACTGTAACACATTGCCACAAACTGGTTGGCCTAAAAACAACAGAAATTTACTCTCACAGTTCCTGAAACCAGAAGTCCAATATCAAGGTGTTGGCAGAGTCAGTTCTTTCTGGAGGGAGCAACATAGCTCCAGTACCAGCAGTCCTTGCATTCCTGGGCTTGTAGCCACATCACTCCAGTCCCTACCACCACCTTCACATGGCCTTGTCCTCTCTGGGTCCTTTCCCCTTCTCTTCTCTTATAAAGACAGTTATGATCTCATCTCAAGATCCTTACCTTAATTACATCTGCAAAGACCCTTTTTCCAAATAAAGTCATATTCACAGGTTTGGGGGTTAGGGTGTGGCTATATCTTTTTGGGGACCACTGTTCACCCAACTGCAGGCAGTGAGGAGCTTGTCTTAGGCTACACCATTAATACATGGTGGAGACAGGTCTGAGCCTCATCTCCCTGACTTGACACATTTAATGCTGGACCTTTCCAAGCTTTTAATGACGAATGTGCGTTGTGAATCTCCAAGAGTGGAATTACCATGTGGCATTTTTCACACTTTTTTGTTGAAAAGATTTGATTTTTTTTTTTTCCTAGAACCAATTAACAATTTATTCAGTGCTAACATTTTTGGGAAACATTGCACTGGAAATTTAAAGAATTATATTTAAGCATTTTAAAATTATTTTCAAAGAAATAATTTATATGATTTTTTTATTTGAAGACCCATAACACAGAAGAGCTTACAACAACAACAACAACAACAACAACAACAACAAAAAACCCAGCCCCACTCTCCAGAGACTAACACTTCTCTTTCTGACTTTAGTTGTCTTGGTGTGGTTACTGCCATAAGTGAACTAAATGATTTTATTGCTCTTTCTTTATTTATCAAATTTAGATACTCTAAATTAGATAAATTTCATGTTATCTTCCTGCCATGAAATTTAAGGATTTCCCTCATTCTTACCTGCCCCCCACCTCCTCCTGAGTTGATGAATATATTATTGTTTAATTATTTTGTTGACTATTCTTGTGATTTTAAACCTCTATTTGTCATGTAGATATATCCTTTGATGGCTCACTATGTGTTCCCACCTTTCCCTTAAATCCACATCCTCTGCTGGGACCATGAGTCAGTTGAATTGGCTTTGTCTATAACATTGGTTTTGAACACTTGACAACTAGTGCTAAAGTTAACATGAACATGACTGTGTAAAGTTTGCTTCCATCTGCTGGGGCCTGTTCCAGGATTACATTTCTTTCTGTTGTCTTGTGGGGCTGTTTTGAAGGATAAATAATATAACATATGAGAAGCCCCTAAAACAGTGCTTGGTTCAGAGCTCTTCACTGATTACTCGTAATCATGTGACATTTTAGTTTGTGCCTAACTTGGACCATAATTCTCTTATGTGTTGTCTGTTTTTCCTGGAGTTTGTAATTGCTTCTCTTTTTTCCTTTAAACTGTGTCCTGAAGTTTATCCATCCTCTTTATCATATTTTCAGATCCACAGAACTCACTTTATTCCTGGAACTATCCAGTGTGAATCCTGATCCTGGTCTTCCACTTTGTTCTTATCCTTAGATGCCCTTTCACTATTGACTCATGTCCCTGGCTTTTTGGTTTTCTCTTATTTTTGTTGGACTGAGCAAGATGTAAACTTGGAAGGCCCTTTTCCTCTGTTTTCTAGCATCCATCCACTGTGACTTAGGAGAAGTCTGGTGTCTGTCCCAGTCTTGCTCCCTTGTGGACAACCCGGTATCTGTTTCTCTTCTCTCTCTCTATTAAGTTTTAGAATTTTCTCTTTTTACCTAGTGTTCTGACATTGCAGAAATTCTCCCAGCAGGGGCCTGTACTCACTCACGCACCATGCCAACTCCTGTGCCAACCCTTCCCATTGTTAATATCCTAGTATCCTGTTGTCATTGTCTTTTCTTTTTTTCCACTTTGACAGATACTTTCTATTATTTCTTTGTTTAATTTCCTCTACCCCACTTTTTTCTGTTTTCTCACTCCACGCTTTCTGTTAGTTGGATGTTAAACTCACTTTGTTGATTCCCTGTGGCTCTCAGCTTTTAGCTTTTCTGTCTGTAACTGTCAAACAAGTTTGGGAAACCATGGTGGCTGCTTGATATCCAATCCCCCCAACACCCTGCCCATAAAATGTAAGATCAGTACAGGAGCAAATACAGCTACCATGGGCCTCAGCTTCAGCATACTAAGAGAGCATTGCAACATTCACATACTTTCTAGAACTATTTTTTGGTTCCCTTTTTTCTGGGATATTTCCTTGAGTGTATTTCCACACTTTCTGTGGAATTTTTGTTTGGGCAACTGTATTTTTAGTTTCCGAATGCTATTTTTTGTCGTGTGAAGTTTCTCTTGATGGTATCCTGTTTACTTTACACATCACATTTTTGTCTCTGAGAATGCTAATTAGAATTTTCAGGTTAACATTCTCTTCTGTTTCCTGGCTTCACTCTTTTTCCTCTAGAGGTGACAGTTTTGTTGCTCATGGCCTTTCCCTTTCATCTTGCTGATTTCCCTCAGCAGTCTGGCCACCCTTGGGTCTCTTTACATTTAAAGTGGGAGGTGGTGCGGATTTACTCCACTGGGCATAGGTGGGCCAGCTTTAAGGACTGGCAGTCTGCTTGGGGTCTGTGTTGGGGAAGGAGGGGGAGAGAGATCAGGTAGACAGGAAGCCACCTCTAATGCCAGAAGGGCTGCATTCTGAGGTCCCAGCCCCCTTCCGCTGGTTCTCCCTGAGCAGTTGATGTCATTTGTGGTTCAGAGTTTGTCTGAGCCAAAGCTGACGGGTCCCTTGCTCTGAGCAAGAGTATGGGAGGAGGTGCAGAGTCCTGACTGCAGCCGACCTTCATTACCTTCTCCCTACTATGTACTTTCTCCTCCCCGCCTGCACAGACCCCTCAAGGGGTGTCTTGTCTGTCACCATGCTCAGACCTACAGGAGCCTGTTGTGGTCTCCCGCTCAGCTGGCCATCACCAGCTGGCCGCATTGGGACTTCCGTGTGAGAAAGGGCAGCACACTATTGGTTGTGGGATCTCAGACCTGGAAATGACCAATCTGACTCCCTCATGTCATAGACAAGACTGCGTAAGGTTGGAACTGTCAGGGTGCTCAGGTTTGGGATTGCCTTCTGCCCTGCAGGGGTGCAGGAGTCCAAATTGTGGCTCCCCTGGGGCCCGTGTAGGTTGGCTGGATTCTGGCAGGTGTGTGGAGCCAGAGCATAAGCCGGCGACCTCCACAGGCTGGGCACAGCTGGTTCTGTCTGGGCATGTTGGGCAGGTGCTGCTGGTATACCTAGGGGGGTCCACTGCTAGGGGCCTTGGGCCCTGACCTGTACCCACCCCGTGACCCCTGCTGCTTCAGCACCTGCACTGCTGCTGTTTCCTCCTGGAGATGTCATTTGCTTCCATCACCTGTGGAGGTGAGGGCCCTGGCCCACCTTTGCCTTGACCCTGATGGATTTGTCACAAAGGCTGGCGAGGATGGGGTGCGGGTGATGAGAGGTGGGGGTGACGAGGGGAGCAGGGCCAGGCTGGTGCAGGACTGACTCTGTGCCCTGTCCCCGCAGGTGAGCGGCCCTTCGCCTGCAGCTGGCAGGACTGCAGCAAGAAGTTCGCGCGCTCCGACGAGCTGGCTCGGCACTACCGCACGCACACGGGCGAGAAGAAGTTCAGCTGCCCCATCTGCGAGAAGCGCTTCATGCGCAGCGACCACCTGACCAAGCACGCGCGCCGCCACGCCAACTTCCACCCCGGCATGCTGCAGCGGCGCGGCGGCGGCTCGCGGGCCGGCTCCCTCAGCGACTACAGCCGCTCGGACGCCAGCAGCCCCACCATCAGCCCGGCCAGCTCTCCCTGAGTGCGCCCTGGCACAGCCCCTACGCCCTCCCCCGCAGAGAGAACGTTCTGAAAAGGCCCGAAAAAAACACTTTTCTTCACCTCAGGTGTCAAAGTAAATTTGTAAAACAAAAACAAAAACGTCAAAACACAACATCCACAAATTGCACAACAGACACACCCACATAGTTGAGATTCCGCGGTGTTGAACCCCCTTTCTCAGGGATGAACACGGTCCACGAGGTCAGCGAGGACACCCTTCCTGCCGCCTTACTTTGTACATAAATTTGCACTCTGGAGTTTTCTGTTAGGTTTGGGAACACGCTGGGGACACAGCAGGCCAACCAGCGTAGGCAGAGCTCAGTCCCCATTTTGCAGGTCCCTCCGTCCGTCCTCCCTCGCAGGTGCAGTTACTGCTGCGTGTGCTTCTGCAGTAGGTGACTGGCGGAGGGAAGGGGACTGTGTCATCCTCTTCCTGCCCACCTGCCCAGCCTCTGTGCCACAGCCCTGCGGGCTCAGAGCCCTGAAGGTTCTGAGAGACAGGCCACCTCAGCGGGGTGCCTTAAGCCATGATATGGGCAAAGGAGTACCCTCCTAGGAGACTGTGGAGGGAGGCGGCTGCCCTCCTAGCCTGCCTGTCTCACTCCTGCCTCCAGGAGCCCGCTCGCCTGACCCCTTGGAGAACTGGAAGCAGAGATGCAAGCCTCGGCTGGGCACACCATTGCACCACCCGATCTTCAACCAGACAGGGCCTGGGCCACACCTACCCAGCACCTGGCTGCTCTGTATCCCTGCAGAAGGCACAAGGGGGACCCTTCACTATTATGCCATGTTTTCTGACTGGAAAACAGAACCTGGGAATTCTCATCTTGTAAAAAGATGTCAGAAAGCATGGCTGGTGCACCCACCTCTCGCATCCCCTGCACCAGCGCTGCTGCAGAATCATCTTGGTTGCACTGGTGGGTGAGGTCATCAGGCTGCCTCATCAGAGGATCTGGGTGAGTGGCTGTGCATGTGCTGGCACCCATGGTACTTCACAGAGACTGGTGTGAAGGGAGAGACCAGAGCATTGTGACTTGGAACTTTCAGGAGTCGCGCAGCGGATGTTATGGGAAATGCTATCGGAGAAAGAGGAAACTCCAGACATGAAGTTGTGGGAAGTGCTTTTCTCAGGCCCACTGTGTCCCCAGCATAGACTTAACAAACCTCCAGCTTCTCCGTGTCTCCTGGACCGCTCCTCCCTTTCCCTCCCACTTCTCCCCCGCTGCCTGAGGCCACACCCCAGCCTGTGGAGCATCAGGGCTGCAGATGCCCTGCCAATCGCCAGCCTTCTCCTGGTAGGAGAGGAGGAGCAGACAGCTGGGGCAGTTTCTCCCAGAACTGTGACCAGGGCTGGGTCAGAGCTTGAACCCTGGTTGGGTCAGTCAGGCCCTGGCCCTGTGAACTCCTCTGCAGACAGCTGGAGTGTCCACCCCAGCCCTGCAGCTCAGGCACCACCTTCCCTTCCTCCTGAGAGTTGGGGTCTGTAAATATAAGGCCCCAGAACAGTGTGTGTATGTGTGTGTGTGTTTGTGTTGGGGAGGGTGGGTTTGGCACAGACTTGGGGTATCCAAGGAGGAATGGCCCTTGGCACCTCAGAGGGCCGAACGTGGGTGTTCTGGGCCCAGAGTGCCTTGGTTGTGGCCATCTTGTCTCCACCCTGGCCATTCTATGGTATGGGGTGCAGCACAGAGAAACCCCAGAGACCCAGGCCTAGCTGGTGACCATGGTTCCTGGCCACTGTGTTGGGCCGGCTCCACAGTGGATGGGTGCCCTTTATCCACAGCCACTGTGCAGGTGGCAGTGTGCCATCTGTGAGGCTCTCAGCACCCATCTCTAACTCTACCATTCTGCTGGGATTGGTCAGTGGTGTGGCAGTGGCTTCCGAGGAGAGAGGTGGGTGCTGAGTTGGTCAGTAGCGCTGTTCCTGCTATGGGTGGGAACTGGTGTGATGCGGGTAGCCCCTGCCCTGGTTGCATGCTGGCTGGGCACCCTGGCTGCTGTGCTGCGTTTGGGCTTTGTGATAGCCCTGCTTGTGCTTGGTATGGGAGAGAGGGTGGACCATTCTGCTGGGATTGGTCAGTGGTGTGGCAGTGGCTTCCGAGGAGAGAGGTGGGTGCTGAGTTGGTCAGTAGCGCTGTTCCTGCTATGGGTGGGAACTGGTGTGATGCGGGTAGCCCCTGCCCTGGTTGCATGCTGGCTGGGCACCCTGGCTGCTGTGCTGCGTTTGGGCTTTGTGATAGCCCTGCTTGTGCTTGGTATGGGAGAGAGGGTGGAATGAGTGGTAGGGACCTTGACAGAAGAGAGCCCTGGGCGCTTGGGGTGCAAAGATTTTCACACCCAGTTCCAAAGCAAGGTCCCTTCCAAAGTTGTTTCTGTGTGAAGCAAAGGAAGCCACACTCTGAATACATTTCATGTCTCAGGAATTCACATTCCAGATTCAGGAATTTTATTCCAAAGTCCTTTGGTGCACTCACCATCCATGGTTCCAAAGGCAGGGAGAGGGAGTGACCCAACCCTGGGAGCCCAGCAAAGTGCTCTCTACGGGAGGGGCCAGGTGTCCCTTGTGATCTGCCCACGGCATCATGGAAGGAGCTTTTCTAACTCCACAGCTATCTGCACATAGGAAGGGAAAAAAAGGACTCTAAACCCAGTCATCTTGGAATAAAAAAGAGCTGGTGTATTTTAGAGCAAGGGTGGGGGGTGGGGGAGGGAAAGTGGGCGTTGGCTGTTTCCAAAGAGAGCACTTAATTTAATTTTTCCTCTGAATGACCCAGGGCTGTTCCGTCTGATAGATGGAAGGGTAATGTTGCCTTAAAACAGAAATATGCAGGCGTTGGCTATTTTTGGCAAATAAGTGTGTCTTTATTCCCAAAGTGGCTCTCCTTAATGGCAGGGTGTGTGGTCCTTCTGCTATGGGCCTGGTCTGGGGTGTGGGTGCAGGGCACCAGGAGGGAATTCCTGCTGGGCACCCCAGGCTGGACCTTCCTGAGTCATCTGGGGCTTAAATTCATCTCACTTGAAGGAGGCGGGGGATCCGTGAATCTCAGGCTCAGTTCAAATGGGTTCTCATTAGCAGATGTCCATCTCATCATGAAATGGGGGTGTCTGTGTAAGAGGGCGGTGGGCCTTAGAAGCCGCACCCCCCAAAAGCAGTTACACAGGGAGGACCCTCGAGATAACATTCATTTCTTCTAACATGTAGAATGTCTTCCCAGCCTGGGTCTATTTCTTGGTCTTTCTTTTTTGTGGTTTATGGCCATGCTTGCTGGTTTTGGTGGGATCGATGAACCCTTGGGGCTCCTAGAAATAATAGTGAAAATTCAAACCTTTATTTTGGGGCAGACTTCAGTTCTAGCAGGCCACAGGGACAGAGATCTCAAAATGAAGGTTGCAAGAGGGAAGGGAGAGGAGAGTTTCTCACGAAAAGGCCTAAAAGTGACTCTGGACTCAGCCGTTGGGGTAGTGGTCAGCTCATGTTCCCAACAAGAAGCCTCTCTTTGCATCAGCCATATTAGGGAACATTTGTCAGCTCCCCGAATCCTACAGCCATACGGAGAAACACAGATGGACACGGCCCTTCCCACAAAGGGCCCTGGGGTCCTCTCCTGCCAGGTGCTACATAGGAATGCACAGTGATTCCCTAGATGGGAACGTGGTCCGGAGGTGCCCTACCTGCATCCTGCTGCACCCCCACCGTGGCACTAGCGGTGCAAGTTTCCCACCACCTCCCACCCCGACTTTATTCCAAGGCCACACTTCATACCAGGCTTCACCATGGTATAGGCTCCGGGTGCAAACGTCCTCAGCACTGGTGACCCCAGACCTCACCATACTCTGGGCCACAGCTCAGGCCAGTGAAGGGTGATTCAGAGATAGAGACCGGCACAGAGGTCTCGTGGCTTTTTGTGGTCCCAAGTAGAGTGTGGCAGAACTGGGGTCTCCATTTAAGTCTTCTGCCCCCATCCCTGTGTGTTCCGAAGATCCAGCCACTTTCTTGCCAGAATCAGGTGCTGCCACAGGGTCGTAGCACTCCATAGGGACCTCGTCTGGGATCTCAGCTGGGCAGGGGTGCCGCTCAACAGCAAGACAGGATCTGGGTGATAGCAGGCTCCTGGTTGTGGCTGTGTTTATAGGGCCATCTGATTATTTTGACTTCTGACAGGTGTCACTGTGTCACTAATTTTTTTTTTTTTTACTCTTTTTAAAAATGGTCACTCAGTCAAAGATAGCGGTAGAAGATTTAAAGGGTTTAAAGTGTAGGTCACACAACCGGTAAGAAATGCTTCGTAGTTCACCACATCTGCTATCCAGAGTTTCCATGTGCGATTCTGGTGACTGTGTTTTCCAAAGTTAAAATCAAGATGTGGGCTAGTGGTTTTTGAAATAAAGATCGTCCTGGGAAGAGCCAGGTCTTATGATTGATTTTTCTATTTCTGAGGCTTTGAAAGTTTGCCCTAGACACATTCCAGGGAATTTTGTACCAGAATTGGGGTGCACAATCCAGTTTACTACTGATAGGTGCCTGAACGTCGTCTAGGGAGAAGTCCTCCTGCCGCTGTCGGTCCTGCATCAGAGTTGGACTTTGCACACAGCGGAAACCCTGTGTCCACGAGGGAAAGGGGCCACACATGGTTTCCACTGCCCCCTACTGAGATATTGGACTCGCAGTGTGGCCACCTGGCCCTGCCCGGCCTCTCCCCTTCTCATACAGCTTTAAAACTTTTAAAAAAATGGACAGGATGGAGAGATCGTGTTCCCTGCACTGCAAGTCATACATTTATGGGGGAGGGAGGTGGGACATAGGAGCTTTCTCCAGGGTTGGTCCTGTTCTGTGTCTTCCTGGAAGACCTGGTGATGATGGGCCACTGTGCTCGCTCACTTGGCCACCCAGTGTGAGTGACATGCCTCGAGGCCAGTGCATGGCTGGATGAATGAAGGCCGACCCTCCCACCCAGCACAGGAGCGGCTGCACCTGGCCCATCCCTCCCCAGCATGCCCTCCAAGAGGAGCGAGGGGGCCGCTTCCCAGTGTGGCTCAGACACTGTGCAGGGTTATTGCCCCAGCGTCCATTCCCAGGTCAGGGTGCCTGTCTCTGAGTGTGTGAGG